TTAGGTGTTTGTATAACAAGACTACGATGTCCATCCAAGTACAGTGCATTAGTACAAAACCTATCCAACTGTAGAAGGGTGTAAGACAGGGTGATGTCATATGCCCGAAACTCTTCACTGCTGCGTTGGAAGACGTTTTCTAGCTTCTGGACTGGAAAAAACATGTGGCTCAGGATCGTACTTGGTGGCTATCTATGAGGCAGGCCTATGTTGGCACAGCAGTGGACCCAAACAGGCTGAAATGATGATGATGATGATGGATAAATTTTGAACCACAAGTTTTTTTAATTAAAATTAGTAATTAATTACCACTGGTAGTATTTTGACTATCAATAAGCGAGTGTAATACTCCTATGTTGAATAAAGATATTTGATTTTGATTTTAACTTTAAAAAAGTCAATGACACTTGGACAATGTTGACTGTCGGTGTGTACTCCGTCACGTCGAAAAGATTTAAGAGCTCAAGATTATATTATTCGAGGGGCGGTCAAAAAGTTCGCGGAATGATGGAGTTGGTGGTTACTTTAATTAATCCAGGTAGTCACTCATTAAGGGTATAAATACCAAATTTGAACCTAATCTGGTCATTAACAAGTCAATCGGGAAGAAATCAGCCACTATTGAGAAAATTGAATATCGCGCTGACATTCAGTTCCTTACTAAGCAAGGAAAATCACCTAAAACCATTTTCCAAGCGATGTTAGCTGTTTACGGGGACTCTGTCCCTAGTTAAACCATGTTTTACAAGTGGTATGGCCTTTTTAAGCAAGACAGGGACTCCATTAAAGATGACCATTGCTCCGGACGATCCGGACGATCTAAAAGAAATTGTATTGGAAAATTGCATTTGAAAATTGTATTGGAAGACGCCCGACTGCAGAAGAAGCAGCGAGCAGCAATGGTTGAAGTATCTAAAACGACCATTTTAACCAAGTTACATGATAATCTTGGGATGACTAAGGTCAGTACAATATGGGTCCAAGAATGCTTACGGCGTTCCGAAAACACGGGCGCGTTTAGTGCTCTCGCCAGTATTTGGAGCTCTGTGGAGATAATAAAGAAGAAGTTATGGCCCGGATCGTTACTGAAGATGAAACTTGGGATCACTATGAACCTGAGTCAAAGCAGGAGTCGATGCAGTGGCATAAAAAAGGCACACCACCTCCAAAAAATACAGAGTGTCGCAATCGGCTGGGAAAATCGTGGCGTTGGGATTCAGAAGGTATCTTTCTGTTTGATTATAACGAAGATGGTGTCATGAGCCAGTACTACGCTTCCTTATTAGAAAAGAGTCTATCAGTTAAAAAGAGTCTATCAGCTTAAAAGAGTCTATCAAGCAAAAAAGTAGAGGAAAATCGGGAAAAGGCGTGCTCCTTTTGCACGACAGCGCACCCGTGCACACCAGTCGAGTTGTGATCGCTGCTATTCATCGACGCAGCGAACAACTGCAAAACGCATCCTACAGTCAAGAACTAGGCTCAAGTGATTATTATTTATTTCCAAAATTGAAGTAAAACCTCCTTGGACAAAAATTTAACAACGATGAAGAAGTCAAGTCAATAATTTCACCAAAGCTAAATCTTTTTTTTTCTATGGTATAAATAAATTATTTCATAGATCTGAGTAATGTTTAATACATTACTCAGATCTATGAAATAATCTAAGATCTATGTTAAGAGAAAATATATTGAATATATTTCATCCCCTATCCGAGGGGGAAATATATTCAATATATTTTTTTTAATTTTACGCGAACTTTTTGACCTCCCCTCGTATCGATGCTGTAGGTATCTCATCACAGATAACCTTAAAGTAGAAGTTTGTACAGTAAACACATATTAGCCAGTGTTACAAAATAATACGTCTCAAGTTAATAAAATGAGTAATCAAAAGCCGTTGTTTTAGCGAGAAACAGTGTAGTCAGATTTCCATTTCTTGAAGCTGTTATACGAGTATATTATATACATACATATGAAGATGTCATTTACTCGTAGATCAACTCGGCGAGTGATACTTCACACATGGTCCAGAGTGCTCTCATTTCGACCGCATTCACTCTACTCACGAGCGCTTTTTGGGAGCGATATCTAACTGAATTTACATAAACACTAACGTTGCCTAGGAAAAATAAAAATAATTTAATATTACCCATTGGATATTCTCGAGAAAATCTGCGCCATGAACGACCGCTATGCTTTTTTTTCCTTTATAAGGAAAAGCCTGGTGCTATACTGCGACCCCCCCCCCCCCCCCCCCCCCCCCCCCTTTTTTTAGTGCGAAAAATCCTTTATGGATCCATACATACCCCGGCAACAGGCTCCGGTCAGAAACGAATACCCACAAGACGCAAAGACGCAAGTTGACGTCGACGCAATCTTCCACGACCCCGGCGCGACTAATATCTCTAGAGCCTCCTCTTCCCGCCTGCTATCACCCCTGATGGGACGTGGTGATGCAGCAATAGGTGATAAACAAATGAGCTCAGTAAAAGCTTATTAACTTTGCCTTGAATGAACGTGGACATATTTGTTAGTCAATGGGTGAAAACAATTGCACGACATCCGGTTTTATGTGTCCATGTCCATGTTTATTCGTATTGCACCAAAAGAAATGTTGCACTTTTGTCTATTTTCAAGATTGAACACTCCCTCTTCATGTTTTCATCAAAAGAAATGATAGTCAATACATGTATTCAAGATGCAAACGACGTTTAAAATAAAAGTATTCAAATCAAAATATTCACAATCGATGTTGATTCTACGGCGGTAAACCGCTGAGTGCAGACCTATTAATTGTTCCCGTTCTCTATGCTGTACAAATAAAAAAATCAATCACGCGTTATCCACGGTAACCTATCTGTGACTCGGTTTGCGTGAGCTTTGAATTAAAAAAATCTAGGACTAAGAAGCCTCAATAATATTCTTATAACATAGGATTACAATTGTACTTGATTTTTATTTTCTAATGTGTTAATTTTCATGAAGGATTACTACTACTGACTAGTGATCCTTTTTAAGAATCAAAGATATTGCAATGAAATTTTCACACTTTAAAACTATACAATAACCATGTATTGGTGTTGGTTCATTTGCATTTTAAAACCATAGTAACCAATTTACAAGCAGTCATGCTTTTCAAAATCAAATCCAAAGAACTTTCTCCAATTAGGGAAGTGTTGATCCGTGGATTTCATTTGTAACTCCGAGGTTTGTTTTAATTAATGCAATTTGTTGCTCATGCTCATTCATTTAATAAGCTGTACATAATATAATTACCGACATAAAAACATATATAATATCAATGATCGATAGAACCTCAGCTTACTTAAATATTCAGCTGTATTTGTCTTGTTATTAATTGACGAATGATGAATCTCTACTAATCAATTCGTATCAGTTAAAGCTTGATAAAGTACATATAAAAAAACGATCTTATATTCTGTATTTTTATATTTGGAAAGCACCGAAATGTTATCAATTTCACACTTTAAAATTAAAAAAGTCGTATTAAAAATTGAACTACTACTAACGAGTATAAATTACATTTCATTAGATTTTTTTATTATATCAACAATGTCAATCTTCTACAATTTTCACCAATAGATAATTATGTAACCGAATGTATCTAACCGTTACAAAGTTAAGTAACAGCAATTACTTCATTTTATAAAAACAATTTTTCAAGTTATAGCCAAAGTATTTCGCGCCATTTAATAATTGCCTGGCACATAGTGAATGTATAATTTAATCCTTCCGGGGCTCTATCCACGCCACGCAATTTCATAAAAGCAAAGATCGAAAGATACACTGCTACCTTTTAAGCCCTGAATCATTAATGTTTTTGATGTTCAATAATTATTTTTGCTAAACTATCGTATTTCCTTCGTTTAATATTTTTAAACTTGACTCTTTGTGAAAATTGCCATAAAATACACAAATAAAGTTTTACAAACTTATGTGCTTTAATAATTGCAGATGACTTATACGAGAAATATTATTTTAGAATAAATTGCATTACATATTTTAATAAAGCGATAAAGTAATGAAGCATTCAGCTAGGTTTTTAATAAGTGAAACCATTATCTTCTAGGACGTTTATGTACTGTCAACCTTTAAATGAATTAAACATAAAACGTCAGTTAGATTAACATCAACAACCGGACTTTTCACCTAATTACTTTGCTGTATTAATATAGGGAAAGCAGCATAAAAATAGGTCATATATTGGCGACTGAGTAAGACAGAAAATAGTGCAACAAATTGTGGTATTGCTCCGTCTTGCTCTACCGCCGGAAATCAATAATGGCAGCTGGCCACGTGGAGCTAGGAAGTAAAGCCCGTTCCATTTACGCTTACAGACGCGGAAATTTCATTATTTACTTATGATTCAATATAGCCGAACTTAACTACATAACTTTTGTTTTAAGCACCTCTTATAGCGGGTTCCATTATAGCAACAGCTATTTCTTTTTGACTAGCTCTCCAATATCGATTAGAATTTACCGCAAATATAAATAAAATATTCAAATCTGTTTATAATAAAGTATGTGAAAGTATGAAAAAAGTTTTGAAAACTTAATGTTTAAATTAAAAGAAGAAGAAATAGTTCACCTTACAATGAAATTACATTACTGCTCGCGCCACCTATCGGATAGTAACTAGAAATTTCTTTCAAGTGAACGTTTTATTAAAATATGTAAAAAAAAATTATTTTCGAGTAAATGCCTTGTTCAAGGAGAGAGGGCAGCACGTCAGCTAATACCACTTATATACCATGTTTATAGCAAGGTATGCAACAACAGTTGCTATAGTACAACTGATTTTGTGTCAGCCTGACAGAGGTCGCTATAACCGTAGTCTACTTCAAATTATGGCGCTAGTGTTCATTAGCTTCGACCAAGCAACAAAGGGGGCGCGATATTCGTTTCTAAGTACTTCAATTAGTACAACGTAGTGCCTAATAGAGGGCGCTTATTCCACCTTTAATAAAAGTTAAGCTATTCGAGATACTGGGGTGGGGGCTCTTGGGACTGCCTGTAATCGGATGTGAAATCTCCGGTCATTTGCTGGCAATAAAACGGATCATGTGCTTCTGCAATTGTTCTTCGAAATTATCGGACTAAGATAATTTTCGCTTTCCTTGAAAATCTATTTTGGTAGAATTTTAACACATTTTACACTACCTGGAGTTTCTTTAGGTGTACTTCGGGTCAATCAAGACAATGAGTATTCAAGCGTAGACCATAAAAGCTCAAACACAAGTCTTGTGTGGAATAAACTTGTACCTTACGGAATTGTTTGAAAAGTTTGCGAGTTTACTGAATCTGAAACGGACCAGGCTTTATTTCTTACGTTATTTTACGCCTTTTTGGGGTAATTATATGATTGAGGAACGTTATTTATTAGAAAAAAATAGTTGTTTTAATCGTTCTCTTTCTTGCTCTAGCTACGAGTAACTCGAGTGATACTGTGTTCCTAAAATAAGTAAATCGCTACATACTTCCATTAGCGAAACCAATCGCCAAACTCAACATCAGTTTAGTAGGAGGATGCTATAATGTCGGGAAATTGATTGGTGTACGCGAGGGCTTTGTATTCCGGGATTCCACATTAGGGTATTTTAGGAAATCGTTTATGCAAATCGTGAACGGCAGGGGAGAGGCGATAGAATGGATGGACACTCGCATTAAATGAGGGACTCGATGAGATCGTAGCCTGGCTGATAGATACGAAAGCAATCCTCGTATACGTCTGTGCTAAACGAAATGGTTTATTAAAAACCTGTCAGGATATGCACCACTGCACCAGAATTTTAATTTTAAAATGCACGATAAAAATACTGTTACGATCAGGGGGTTGTTGACATCTGTACGACCTACGATGAGACTTTGGAATGACGTATTTGATTTAATACCGGATTTTATTCCGGAACTTTCTATTAACTTTCAATATTAGGGCTGCGATTCCATAAAGTTCTACTAAAAAAACGAATGCAATTCTAATCGTTCCTACAATGTTTTTGCCGCAAAGACGAAATTCGGACTATGAAAGCTGTGAGACCCAGAGTGCGCTAGACGGGCAGTCCAGTGGAGGAAATGGAAGAAGGAAGAGGATATTACAAAATGAAGTGATAAATTAGTGAAGTGCAGTAACAAGTGGTGTTATGGTGTACGCGGAGCATTGGTGCGGCAACGTGTGGGACATTCCACTTGTAGAAGCGTTCATCAAGATTATTGCTAGAACGATAGGGCGTGGACGGCGCCGCCGACACGTCTCACGTCAAAATAATAAAATAAAAATTTCAACGACCGGCGCTTCGCTCCAATCCCGAACTAACAAGTAACAATACTATCAAACAATTTGATTTGATTTACAGATACCAATATTTGAAGACCAAACGATAATAATATTTTAACCTTACCAACGTCAATGACAAAACACGTGATATCAGCATGTCGGTGACGTAAACCTATCAATTTGTTCCCATCCGAAAATGCCCAACGTGCCTGTAAAAGTTTTTACTTCAAAATAATTTTGCAAATATATATACAGCGTGTCGTTACCATCGCGACAATATATGAACACAAGTCTAACGCTACTTGCCAATAATCATAAAAAATATAAAAAGTTAATAAAATCCATAATTAAAAAAATATATTTTTCAAACAAACTAATTGAATAAAAAAGAAACAAAATTTGTAACATCCTATACAACTACAACTGACTGATTCATACAATCAGGACTGTTTCTTTCGTCGCATTACAAGTCTCTCCTTTTAACAGTATGTTTTATCTCTTTTAAATTCATTCAACCCATTCATATGCTTTGTGATCTTTACAAACGAACTTTACGTTACAGTTTTATACGTAAGGATGTTCTAAAAATGTTTGTTTTGTAAAATTTTATAACTCGGTTAATATTGATGTTTAAAGAATGTAAATACTTAATACAATTTTAAAAAGTTATCCTGTATATGTGTGTTCATTTATTGTCGCGATTGTAACGACACGCTGTATATATTCTTATGATACAATACGCTCTCACAGAGTGATTTTGCTTCCTGTCAAATTGTTCTATTTTTATGAGATTATAATGGAAAAATTCTGTAAAGCCCTATTCTAAGAAATATAAATAAATAAGTAACGAAAGTATAATATGTAATGTAAAAAATAATTAGACGTAATAAACTCCTATATGGTTAATTGCACAGTGATTATTCCCAGGGATAATTTAAATTAATTTGCTTTTCTCTTTGAATGGTATTTTGTTCACTTTGAAGTAAAATTTAAAAATCTTTCCATAGTGTAGTGTCAAAATACTGTTATACCATTGTATAAAGTATTTGCCCGCATTAAAAAATATCATGCGTAGCTATCGTAAGCTGACGAAACTTACTTAACTCAATACACACAATACATTGAAAAACAAATATGTTTAACTTATACATAAAGCAAAAATATATGTATGTATTTAAATTACAGATAAACAAAAAACTATAAAATACATTTGAATTAGAGAAATGAAACTTACTTAACTAAAAAAAAAACGCGAAAAATAAGAAAATTATAAACTAGTACTTAGCTGGTTTACAGCTTTTTCTTAAGTACGTGTAATTTTTCAGATTATATATCATCTACGTCACATTTCTGAACGACGCTTTAAGCGTACGCGTAACAATTGATATCGGACTCACATGATGTCGCCCAGCTTGAGGCGCGTGTGGATGAGGGCGCAGGTCTTGTGGTCGGAGACGGCTAGGGCGGCGCGGCGGCGCCTCGGCGGACGGGGCGACGCCGGCGGCGAGTCGCCGCGCCGCACGCACGGCGAGCTGCCCCGCCGCCGCACCGAGGCGTGCCGACCACCCACGCCGCCCAGCATCCTGCGCTGCAACCAGTTCCAAATTCAAATTCGAACGTCTGTAGTCCACGTAGAAGCGTTACACTCGCTTATTCATTCTACGTGAGTATCAACAGTATTAACTCCACACATTGGCGTCGTCGAGATATTCCGAAATGGTATAATATGCTTTAATCATTAGTTGATTTTTAATTTTACATTTAAATTGGTCAAGCAGCAGACTTAATATCGACTGTGGGATTTTATTATACATGCGCACACTTTGCCCCATGAACGACCTATTTACTTATTGCAGACGAAACAATGGTGTAGTAAGTTTGTCCCTATTTCTAGTGTTTATTTTATGTCTGTCACTATTATTTAGGTAATTATTAAGGTTATGTCGTATATACAAAATATTACAATAAATGTATTGAGAAGCAACAGTGAGTATATTAACCTCTTTGAAAAGATCTCTGAGTGAATTCCGGGCTCCGATATTGTAGATTGCTCGAACAGCTCTTTTTTGAAGAATAAATAAAGAATTTATATCTGATGCACTACCCCACAACAAAATGCCGTACGACAAGATGCTGTGAAAATAACTAAAGTAAACAAGTCTGGCAGTGTCTGTTAGCTGCCTAACCCTTCTAATCGCAAAAACAGCGGAGCTCAGCCTATTCGCAAGAGATGATATATGGGGACTCCACTGGAGCTTGAATCTACTGTAATTCCCGAAATACAGCAGACTCAACTGGATTAATGGGTACGTTATTTAATATTAAACTAAAACTTTTCCTTCTTATACTGGGAAGGGTAAAAAGAATACATCTGGTTTTTTTTTTGGCATTTAATACCATATTATTAATAGTAAACCAGTGGAGGATATGTGAAAGTGCACTATTCACGCCGTCATAATTTAATACGTTTCGGTCAACTTTAAAAATTAGCGATGTATCGTCAGCAAACAGTACAACATCACACAACCCACTGGCATAAAAGGGGAGATCATTAATATATACTAAAAATAATAATGGTAGATTGATCCTTGTGGGACACCCATTTTCATCAGGGACCCAGCAGAATTAACATCATTTATAGATACTTTTTGAATTCTATTACTAAGGTAAGAGGCAATGAGATTGAGGGCGATGCCACGAATGCCATAATATTCTAGCTTTTGAAGAAGAGTTTTATGGTCTACGCAGTCGAAGGCTTTTGAAAGGTCACAAAAGACACCTATTGCATCTTGTGACCTTTCCTAGGCGTTATAAATATGTTTGACAAGTGCGACGCCCGCATCTGTTGTCGATCTGCCTTTAGTGAATCCATATTGCTCATCGTGAAAGATTTTGTTCACATTAAAATGAACTAATGCCTTGCATTGAAATGCATTAAAATGGTTGCTCGAGTATATTGACTTTAAGTCGAGCACCCGACACTAATCTATACGGCTTCATTGTCAATATATTTATTTATTTAAATAATTGAAGAAAAGCAAATTGAATCCTGCAGTGCCGAAAGTTTTTGTTCATTTATCTACAAAAAAAAACAATTTAAAACACCCTGCCACTACCGCACCACTAAGAAGGTAAATTTTACGAATACTGAATTTTTATTTAACTCACACTATTTCTATTGACGGAAATAAAAACCAAATAACTTTAAAGTAAACCTAAAAGCACACAAAATAAAAGCTTTCAGAAACAGCTGTTTTAAACGAACAAATAAGAATTGGTTGGAATGGAAACGATTTTCCATTTTTCGATGGACAGCCCAAGACGAGAAGAGGGAAGATATTCTTCAACGGAATATCCACTAGTTTAACCAAGATTTCAGAGTTTTTTCCAAACTAAAAATTATTTGAATTCAATTACGTTCTTTTTCCACGATCGGAACCTTCAAAATGGCACTGCGCTCCGTTTCTCTAAAATAATTTGCTTAACAAAATATTTACAATATTAATTCTATATTAATCAATAAACCTAGCCCACATGGCATAGTTGCTAGAGCGTTTGCTTCTGCATTGCTCCGCTGAATATATAATATACTAATAATGAGAAAAGTACAAAACCTCTTGTCGCCTGCCGAGACGATAAGTTTAGGATGTAAACCATCAAAACTAATTTTATCAGGCGATGTTTGACGAATAACTGATGGAAGTAATAAAAACAAGACAGGTAAATTACCTTTTAGAGGGTTATTGCAAACAGATGAAAAACGGTGATTAGCATTAGAAACATGTTTTTAGCACGTATTATTGGAAATGATAACATTTGTTCACATTATTTATTATCTATGATTGAAAATTAAAGCTTTAATCCAGGGCTCAGTTATATTTTTTAAAGACATTCTACCTCATGGGTGAAGCATAAGCCGATTTTGTTTATTCACGAATTTATTTTGAATTAAAATAAAGCCTGCACCCGCAAATATAATAAACCTAATTTAAAGCCCATCAACATATATCTCACAATACCGAAGATCAAAACTATCACGTATGTATAACTTGGAATCATATAAACGGTAGTTCGCACTAATTGATATTTATGCTTAAATCGCACAAAATAACTTCAATAAGACAAAATAAGAGGCTAAGGCGTATTATACCATAGCGGAATATCTTGACGACTCCAATGTGTGGGGTATCTCCCATTATATTGTAAACTAATCGTTTTAAAAAAGAGCAACTGTCGAGTTTCTTTTCCTGGTTTCTTCTCAACAGAAAATGCTTTCCGAACCGGTTGGTAACTTACGAACGTATTAAATTCTATGTAAAATTTCAAAGTTCCATAAGAAGCACAAGCGTCTATGTGAATAAAAAATATTTTCAATTTGAAATTTCAATCTCATTATTGGTATAGAAGATGGATAGATTCTATATTAACTAGCAATTTCGAGATCAGTAAACATATCATCGCTCATAACTCTCTACTCTGTTATCAAATACGAGTATGAAGTCCCTCGGGCCAATTCAAATGTAGAGATATGTAGAGATGATATTTGATTCCGGAAATAGGCAACAGCGATGGGTTATATATAATAATATTGTATATAATGTAGCATTGCTTGTAAGATTCTATGCTCTCTAATACATATATACAGACATAGCACATACAGTGGACCTTGTAAATATTACCTTTATACCTTTTATGGTCATAAAATATTTTTTGACATACACTAGCTGAAACTGGCTTTTTTCGCTTCCATTGGGACTTTTGAAAAAAGTATATAAAACACAGTCCTCAATAGCTATTAGTGAACAAATATTAAGTAAATCCATAGACTAGTTTTCGAGTTTTATGGACACAAACATAGGGAAGCAATTTTTTTTAAATATAAAGAAGATTTATACACAAACAAAAATATAACGCAAAACGCCGTTACTTTAATACAATAAACGCAGTGAAAATAATAGTTTAAAGTGGCACGCTATCTCTGAAGCACAGGCCATCGCAAGACTAAAGCTGACCACCACGGAACAAAATTAGTTTCAAGTAGCTTAGTGAATACTATTGCATTGTTACTGAAACCAACGCTGAGAGCGTTGGTATAATCTTTAAAATGATATTAATATCTATGGAATTAATATTAATAACTTTCCAAAAGAAGAAAGAAAATTAAGTGTAACTAAACGCAAGCTAAAAGAAAATACCTGGAGAATGAATATCGCCATGCTTTGTTGTTCCACTAAGCTTACGCAAACTAGACCAACAAATTAAAGACCTTTACTGTGGAAGCTTTTACGATACATCAATATAAACTGAACTTTATTTGTATTGCCCTTAGAGCACCATCTAAGCCTTAGAAGCAATACCTTAGATTCTAAGGTATTGCTTTTGTACAAAATTGAATTTATCGTAGGATAAGTTTGAACGGCATAGTAGTTTTCTATATAAAATACCCATGGACAAAAAAGGAAATCCGATGTAAATATATTTATAATCAAAAACTACTTTTTATGCGCAAATAGAAAAACATGAAAAACGATATCGAAGCGAGAAGGATTGAGTTTTGTAACTACGCAAAATGAGGCATGAAACAGGTGCATAACCTTTGCCAATTAATTGTGTTAGGTTAGATTTTCTTAAGATAGCTGGCACTTTTCTGCCTGAATTGAAACGTAATTTATTATTCACCAACTTATTCTGCATAATTGAACCTAAATTCAACTTAAAGTGATGACTTGCATAACATAATTATGATACGATAGTCAAATCGCCTCATTATTTTAAATCTATTATTATACTTAAAATTAATTTGAGAATAACATATAGAAACACTGAAGCCTAACATCTAGAACGGTAAACGAAGAATTTAAGATTAATTTTTAATGTCATTTCCTGCTCCATTTGCTACATCCAAGTCTATGCAGACATGCACATCAATAATGGGTTCTTTTTACGCCGTTTTCACTCTGTGTATCACCAACCGGGAAATCCGATTGTCTATTATCGATTTTTCCACTCACTTTCCCACAAAATTTCTAATCGACATTACTTCATATTTATTTTTCACTTGTAGAAGCCACATAAGCTTTCCTTTTATGTCATGCGATATTTCGATATTCGATACAATATTTGCCTTAAGCTTTACTTTTAAAATATAATAGAAAAAATTAGAGTTATCATGGTCCTGATATTTGTAAAACATATAAAATTGTTTAAAATATGTAACAAATTGGTGGATGATTCATAAGTATTAATCTACAGGATAAGGTAAACAAAATGACAAAATTAGTAGGTATACCGTAACCACTAACCAAATATTAATATACATACATTTTAAATATATTCAACGATAAAATTGTTTGCAATTAAATATCAATTCATTTTAACTTATGCCTGGAAATGTTCTAGAAGCTAATATTTTTGTTCTATCATGAGGCGACTACCAGACGAAGGATTATTAATAGTTGAACTCACAATGAACAAATAATAATGTAGGAGTAAACGTAGGAACTAACACAATTATCAAATATTCGGTTGGGTTTAATGGAAACCTGAAACGATCCTTCATTTGGCATCAAATATCTTTGTAGC